AACATGTTTTTGGACCACTTGGATGAATGTCTGGGCCATCAGCTACTCTTACATTAATTCAATTACAGGCTGCACAAATATTTTTGAAAATGATGTTTATGTAAGACTACGTATGCCTGCAAAAGGGTCAGCAAACAACGTTACAAGCGTGGTCGGGAAAGCGACAGACGGCGGGGAGAGGGCTAAAAAGGGAATCAGTTGTGCTGGACAGCACTCAGGCATGTCACTTGACAGCCGTTGCCACTTAACGGGACGGGGCCAGTAAATAAGCACCGGAGACACAGGCTCCACAGTCCGTCATCGGTAAATAGTGGCCATCAATGATACAGTATAGCGAGTGGCTGTTGATCTTGCATGGACACTCACGATCGCAACCTGAGCCGCTTAGACTACGGTGATGATCGTTGACCTCATCGCAGAAATTCTTCTCACAACAGCCATCGACACGGGGGTCAATTAAGTGCTACTGTGTGACCACTTGTTTGCTCAGCACAGAGCTTGACTTACTGAACATGCGTTGATCGAAAACGGACGTCGGTAAGCCGTAGTTACGCCACAAGACGTGAACAGGCAATGGAGAGGAAAATGCAGCATTTCAATGCCCCCTGAATGTGAATGCGTTCCTGTCAACAAAGGTTTCATCACTCCCCCAATTTCGATACGATGATGGTCATGTTTAAAGCTATTATGCAAAACTATCTACGTCAACCTTCAACCTAAAACCTGCAATTTTCATACAGCGAAACGGTTTCGCAGAATGTTGCTAGGCGCTTAAGTCCTGAAGTCCTTATATTTGGCCATGCTTGGAATATCTTTATGATGAAAATTAAATCATTTGGGAAGATAATCATTCCATCAGCTCATAAGTTTTAAATACGGTATATTGGAGCATGAAGAAACGCAAAATTATGAGGAGAAATAGACACTGAAGTTTAACGCGTTCCGCATGCCTTCCTTAACAAATCCGTCTCTGATCAAGGGACCAGATTGGAACCGTTATTCACTTGCAGAAAGACTTGAATAAGATCTGCTACTCATTTAACCTGGGCGCAACCAGCCTTCGTTTATGGAGGACGAGCAAGAACCAAAATAGAGATTGCATGACGAAAGACAGTGAAGCGTATTTTATGGTAGCCGCTGAATCCACGGCATTCTATTAGGCAAGCAGTTACGGTTGTAACGGGAGTTTTAATGCCTTGAAAGCTGATCGATTTAAGGAAGAATGCTCTTACTTCTTATCCCAACCGAAAACTCAAAAAATTGCCTCTTTGACAATGCCTCAAAAGTGCATAGAGCAGCCTCCGAAACTTGAAGAACAGACAAACGACAAATTAAAAATCAGTTAAAAGTGGAAGACCCATGGGGTGCTTACGCTTGAGCTACAAACTAGGCAAAAGTTCTAGCATGAACCATAAAATGCTTCGATGAAGATACCACTTTTGTGGCTATTAAACAGTTGCCTTGGAGAAGAACAGTATGGTTATGAATCTAGGGTGAAACGGTTAAGAGCCATCCTTCATGTTAATGGAAAAGAAAGCCATATTTCTTTTTGAATAAAGCAGCATTGTGGCTCATGGGTAAGAGAGATGTAAGATACGAACAATGCAGATTATGTCTGATAAACGCTCCTATGAAATAAACTATGAAAATGATACGCTCTGAGAATTTTGATGGTTAAAACTTTAAAATCCGAGTTACAAATTGTCTAACTTTAACAATCATTTCATTTCTGTTCCTGATGAATGTCACGTTTCACTGTTGTTCTCGTTGAATGAACAAGCGTTGGGGTCTAAATTGATAAAAGAGAACAGTGTCACGTTGAACTGTATGAAAAGACGATGGACAATAGCATTGATCCTGCCACAGAGTTGGAATTTCTGCTTCTCAAAATCTGCCTGTTTCAACAATTTTTACATTTCACATTCAAAAAATCACCAACCCCCGCTACATCCTACAGTAGAACGTCGAAGTTTAGAATTTCAGTCCAATAAGCTTTGGCTTTTTAAATATGCAGTAAGAAAATCAGTGACTAATAGCACGTAGCAAACTATTCAACATCTGATACAGTAAAATTCCAAAATAAATGCATTTGAATTTCGATCCTTCTCCCAAGAATTTCAGCGGAGGATTCTATCGCCTCTGATACTCAAAGTAAATTGTGGCTTGAGACTTTGGACGGGTTTATTTTATCATTTCTCTTTTAGTTAAAATTAAATTTTTAAATATTTGATTTTCAAACATGGTGCTTCCGTTGTTACAAGTTTCATCAGATGTAGGTGACACCTACGATTCAATGTTGCTCTTGATCTTTAGAAGATCGTCATAAATATAAATAATTTATATATTGTCGATTCATTGAAGGAGATGCCAGATATGTAAATTGAGTCATCCTAGTATCGAATTGACAATCAGGCATTAGAAACCGGACACTAATTACACCTGTTGCTAACGGTGAAAATTTACCAACAGCAAATGCTTAGTGCTCGCATCGATGAATAAATATGTCATCACATTCTTCGGCAGCTTCGACAGGCTCAGACCTGAGAAAGCTTTTGACAATGAGCTGAGAATAAAATGTTTGAAAACCGTTGCCTCAGTTCAAACTCAATCACTGTGAGGGATTATAATGGCTTATACGATGTTGTCAATAGCTCGAAGACAAAATCATTTTTTGTTCAACCTGAAGCATTGAATTAGAAATTTTTGTCGCTTTCGTTCTTCAAAAATCAAGCGTCGTAAAATGCGACACTATGTAGTCGAAAAAAGTACTATTGAGCGTTCACTGATGAGTCGACACGGTGGCCGCCTTCCTGTGTGGAGGAATTTTCTAGTCATTACGTCAGATCTGTTCATATAATTTGACACCTTCAGTGAATATCAGCCTGAAACTTCAGTTTGGGTTCACTTGCAAACTTCTGTCCCTCATTTCCTCCGTAAGAGATAGACTAAAAGCAGCTCATAGATAATAAAATGCTGAAAAGCATGTCATTATTCATGGGACGACGGAAAGCTGTTAAACGCCAAATAACGTATGCGTGTTAGATTTTGCAAAGAAGGTCGTTGTTGAACAGATGGAAACGTGTTCTCTGTTCTCACGCTCGAAAGCATTTTTTACCCAATCCTTGCTAACTCCTAAGTCTAGCATCATGACAGGATATTGCGTGAGATGTTCGGAAACGGAAACGCGTGGCATTGAGATGACTCGATAGGCAGCCATGCTCATGACGAAAAAATGCCGCATGCCGAATTGCATTTCTTTCAAGGTGTATTTTTTACGCTCAGATGTGCTTGGCGAATTCTTAATCTACGAAATGCAACATTCATCTCTGGAGCATTGTGATTTTAAAGCGTGACTATGGCAAAAGAAGCGAAAGGGCACAATTTGAGCCTGACCGCCGAGAGGAGGGCCAAAGAGGAATGCTGGCAAAGGGAAAACGGGTGTCCGTTGTACATGAATGTTTTCAGACTATGGTATGTTCAGTGAATACGAGGTTGTGCCCCTCTGAAAGAGTTAGACAGCGTAGGCGGTAAAGACGATGATGACCAT